GTCTTTCCTCTAGTGGTGTTATGTGAACGTGACTACATGACATTTCACCATGATCTGGGCCTAGGGGGAGGCATTGTGAAGTAATAAGTAGATGATGGGTTGCTAGAGTGACAGAAGCTTAAACCGTAGTTTATGCGTTCCTTCGTAAGGGGCTGATTTGGATCCACATGTTTCATGCTATGGTTAGATTTATCTTAATTCTTCTTTCATAGTTGCGGATGCTTGCAAGAGGGGTTAATCATAAGTGGGAGGCTTGTCCAAGTAAGGACAACACCCAAGCACCGGTCCACCCACATATCAAATTAATTATGGAAGTAGTGAACGTGAATCTTATGAGCATGATGAAAACTAACTTGACTATAATTCCCATGTGTTCTCAGGAGCGCTTTTCTTTATATAAGAGTCCGTCCAGGCTTATCCTTTGCTGTCAAAAGGATTGGGCTACCTTTCTGCACCTTTGCTAGACTTGTTACTTGTTACCCGTTATGAATTATCTTACTACCAAACTATCTGTTACTGATAATTTCAGTACCTGCAGAAAATACCTTGTTGAAAACAGCTTGTCATTTCCTTTTGATCCTCGTTGGGTTTGACACTCTTACTTATCGAAAGGACTACGATTGATCCCCTATAATTTTGGGTCATCACAAACTTATCCTACTACACCTACAGAGCGATTTTAGTCTTATTCCTTGTTTCTAGGTAAAGCAAACATTGGTGCGCGTAGAGTTGTATCGATGGTCGATAGAACTTGAAGAGAATATTACTTCTACCATTAGCTCCTCGTTGGGTTCGACACTATTACTTATCAAAAAAGGCTACAAACGATCCCCTATAACTTGTGGGTTATCAGTGGCCATCGCCATGATTCGCTCCTCCGGGAGGGAAGGGAATCTCCAAGAGGTTGGCATCGCCGCCATCCGGTCACAGTTATCGCCGCCCTTGGGATGCCATGGCTCTTGCCAAACCCAACCCAGCGAAGCATTACAGTCAAATCCATTATGATACTAATATGGAATCTAGTTAGGTATGGTTTCATTCGCGCTAAGGCAAATGATGCAAGTACTTAATGTGGCAACGACCTTAGCTAGAATAACGACAAAAGATGCCATCACATGACTTTTAGGCTCGATAAAAGGTATAACTTAGTTAGTTAATAAACTACTAATATGAAGTGATACTAAGAACCAAGCAATGTTCTGTTGCTCAAAGCACATGTAAGTGAGCTCATCCAAATGCAAAAAAACTATTGTGTCCAATTATAAGGCAGTTGTTGGAGATGCTCTTAGAGGCGCAACTTGTGCCTCATTTCTAGCTTACAACAGGTTTTCACTTAGTTTTTAGCTAATAATAATTAAGCAACGAAACTTTTACCTTTACCCAAGCTATTTTCATTCAACAGATTAACCACACCTTCTTACATGAGGTGACACATGACAAGTGATTATTCCGAGTAGACCACCCCTTAAAAAACACATGAAGAAGGCCAAGCCTATCGACGTGCATTGGGTTGGGTTACAGGGTGATGCCTCGTGATGCCATTACAGAAGGTCACAAACAATCCAGGACGAGCCCAAAGCCTCGAGAGTTCCATGGACATAAAACACACATGACATGGAAAAATTGTAAATATGACCATACTGTGATGGCAAAACCCTAAGTGCCCCTTAAAAATATCTGGCATTGGCATGAGGTCTGGAATCTTCACTCGCCCTAATCTCCAACGACCCAAAACTCTATTCAGATTTTTTTCTCCACGCCTCCGACTCCCCACGGGAATAAACACCTCTTTCCTAGTACTCGGATCCCCCTCAAACTTTCATCTCCACCACCCACGTCTCCATCCCTTTTCAATGGTGCAATAGTAGCTTAGCCTTCCTGTAGTGTTTTGTTTCCTCGTTTTGACGGTTGGTCTGATCCCATGGATGCCTCCCTGGAGCCGGATCTGACAATTCCCCCAAATTAACTCCATCAATAGTCAAATAGGAAGGAGAAACCCTAATTCATATTAGAAAATGGATCAAGCGAGACATCCACCCATTCATTATACCATCGATTCCCCAATTGGACCCCAAACCACCTGAGACTAGCAAAATCACTTATTACCTTCTTCAATAACAACCCTCTATGGTCCCTTCTCCCTCTCCAGGAATGGGTCCACCGCCGCCGCCTCCTTGTCCTTTTCCAGAAACACATCCATGCACCCTCCCTCTCATGTTCTACAGGCAAGCCTCTAGATCTCTCGCTCTCTTCAAAATATCCATTCTTGTCTATGTATGTCCAATAGTGCGCCACTCCAAGGTGGGGTGGCCATCACTCTCGATCCGCTCCTCTGGGAGGGAAGGGAACCTCTAGGTGGTTGGCATCGCCTCCATCCCCTCACACTTATCACCGCCCTCGAGATGCGATGGCTCTTGCCAAACCCAACCCAGCGAAGCATTACATACAAATCCGTTATGATACCAATATGGAATGTTGTTAGCTGTAGCCGCATTCGCGCTAAAGTGAATAATGCAAGTATTTAATGTGACAACTGCCCTAGCTAGAATAACGACAAAAGATGCCATCACGCAACTTTTAGGCGCAAGAAATGGTATAGCTTAGTCTTTTAATAAACTATTTGTTAAATGACGTTATGCATGTGCCATGTACTATAGTTATCTAAGCCCAAGTTCGCCCTTATCTCTCTATTAGTTTGATTAGGGTTGTACCTAAGGGCGTCGGCCATGCATGCAATCCTGTATATATATATATATATATATATGACACTAGATGCCTGTAATACAATTGTGCTGCGTAAAATCTCTTTCTACATGATATCAGCCTAACCAGCTATCCTCTACCCTAGCCTTTCGCACCCTAAACCCTAAGGAGTCGCCATCGCTAGTTCTTCGAGCTGCCGTCGCTGCTACCTCCTAGCATAGCCGTAGCCAGCCATGACACTTCGACTGCCAGGGGGTGGGGGAGGGGGGTTGAATGACGGCATGCATGTGCAAAGTACTATAGTTATCTAACCTATGTTCTCCCTTATCTCTCTATTAGTTTGATATTAGGATTGTACATAAGGACATGGGCCATGCATGTAATCCTATATATATGGTACTAGATGCCCATAATACAATTGTGTTGTACACTATTAATATGAAGTGATACTAGGAACCCAGTAATGCTCGGTTGGTCAGAGCACTCGTAAGTGAGCTCATCAAAATGCCTAAGGAATGATTATGTCCTGCTATAAGTCACGCTGCACGTGGGGGCGGGAATAAGTGGGACTGCCTCAGCCCATCCCACTTAATCACCTTAGTGGGAACCCGTGGGAGAACAAGAAAAATAAGTGGACTATCCCATTTAGCCCACTGGGAATCCACTTGACCACCAACTAGCATCCTCGTGTACATGGTCTTCCCGGGAAAAAAAGACAAACCATCAACGACACCGAGCTCTCACGGTGACAGAGTTCTAGCTAGCCGCCGCTCCTTCGACCTGCCTGTTAGCGACGCGCTGCTCTTTAGGCCACCCGTCTGCTCCCTTGCCGTTCGCCGCCCCTGGGCAGCACTCGGCCCACCGGACCATCATGACGTTGCCGCGAACACCCGAGCGCGCCAGCTCCCCCGCCATGGAGCGCACGAGTCCCACCACCGCGAACTTGGAGACGCTATACGGGTGCGGCATGAACTGGCATAGCACGCCGGCGATGTTGGCCGTGCAGATGGTGCTGCCCGCGCGGCGCGACACCATGACGCGGGTCGCCCCGACCATAACGCCCCGGGTGTTGATCGCCACGACGGCGTCGAAGTCCATGAAGTCGAGCGCGCCCAGCTCGGGCCGCGCCATGGAGCCCACGATGCCGGCGTTGTTGAGCATGATGTCCAAATTACCGTGGCAGACCACGACAAGGTCGATCACCGCGGCGACCTATGCCTCGTCGGTGACGTCGCAATGGGTGTACGAGGCGGAGTCGGCGCCGAGCTCGTCGCCGGGGCACGGCCCAGATCGTCCTGGACGTCGGCAGGACGACCTTGGCGCCGTTCCTGACGAACTCCGCCATTGCCGTGATGCCAATGCCATCAGCGGTGCCAGTATTCATGGCACCTTCCCAGCCAACCTCTGGCAGCTCGAGACCGTGGAGTAGCATGTAGAGCTAGTGACTGACCCATTAGCACAAACATTACTCTTACTCGGAACGTACAGCCTAGCCAGAACGATTTGACGCATCGTACATGAGGATGACCTGCATCACTCGAAACATGTTGCTGATCTTGTCCAGTCCTCTACTTGCTTAGTCTATGTGTGAAGGGAGGGACTTGGCAAAGTGGAATCCCACTTATTCCCAACTAATCCACCTAAATTTTACTAGGTTCTTAGTTATCACCCACTAAACTTTGATGGGACTAAGTGGATTGTGGTGGGACACCCACATCCAGTCCCACCTGCAGCCTGAGCTATAAGGCAGCTGTTTGAGATGTTTGTAGAGACATATCTTGTGCCTTATTTCTAGCTTATAAAAATAGGCCTTCACTCGGTTTTCTAGCGAACAACAATGAAGCGACACCCATTAAAAAGGAAGAAGGCCCAGGCCTACAGACGTGCATTGGGTTGGGTTGCAGGGCGATGCCATTACATATGGTCACAAACTATCGAGGCCGAGCCCAAAAGCTCGAGAGTTGGGCGAACATGAAACGCAGACAGTGTGGCAAACCTGTAAATAGGACCATACCTCGATGGCGAAGCCCGAAACGCCCCTTAAAAATATCTGGCATCGGCTCGAACTCTGGAACCTTCAGTGGCCCCAATCTCGGACGACCAAAAACTCTATTTAGATATTTTTTTCCCACGTCCCCACGGGAATTAACACGCCTCCTTCCTGGCACCGGGCTCCCCCTCAAAATTCTCAAATCCACCAATCTCCCCCCCGTCTCCATCCCAATTCCATGGTGCAATAGCAGCTTAGCCGCGTTTTGTTTCCTCGCCGTCGCGCCGTCGACGGTCCGCCTGATCCCATGGACGCCTCCGCTGGAGCCGGATCCGGCAATGCCCCTGGCGCCGGCGCCGGCGCCGGCGCGTCATCTTGCTGCTACTACGCCCTGCTCGGCATCCGTAAGAACGCCTCCTCCACCGACATACGCGCCGCCTACCGTCGGCTCGCCATGGTAGGCTCCTGTCCTCCGTCCCTCCGCGCGCGTGGGTTCTTGATTGGTTTCCTTTTCTTGTTCCTTTCGTCTGGTCGGAGGAACTGACGTGCTAATAATCCGATGTCTTGCTCTGACCGTCCAGAAGTGGCACCCGGATCGGTGGGCCAGCGACCCCGGCGCGACGGGCGAGGCGAAGCGGCGGTTCCAGCGGATCCAGGAGGCCTACTCCGGTAAGGCATCGCGAGCCTCCCATTAGCCCTAGCCCGCGCGAGGTTTTGATCGAATTCTTTGTCGGCGTTGCAGTTTTGTCCGACAAGGGGAAGAGGGCCATGTACGACGCTGGCCTCTTTGATCCCCTCCACGACGACGACCAGGTGGGCGCTCTGGTTTCTTTCCGTGCTTATTGTCCCGTCGATATTCTCTCGATTATTATATTATTGATTGAAAACAAGTGGGAAATTACCCGCTTCTGTCCCAGACCGACGTACAATGTCCCTAAAATTTTGCTCTTGTTTTGGACGGCCAGGATTTCTCGGACTTCATGCAGGAGATGCTAGTGATGATGGATAGCGTGAAAAACGAGGTAGGCGCGACCGCTGACCCAACTACCCCCGTGACACTAGTTTAATCGTGATTAAGTACCTGTTGAACAATTTGCTATTGCATCTCGTGCAGAAGCCGGACACGCTCGAAGACCTGCAGAAGATGCTAGATGACATAGTCAACGGCGACGGCGGTAGCCGCGCCACTGCTGGTGCTGGTGGTAGCGGCGGCGGAGGCGGTGGCTGCGGCGGTCGCGTTCCACCGGAGGCCAACCGCAGAACTCGTGTCGCCCCTTACCCGCAGCCTTCGCGAAGGTGATGGACGCGCCGGTGCACGTGATGTGCACGCACCGCTGCGCTTGTAGGAGAGAGATCAGAGCAAGAAGAGAGCAACCAGCGTGAAAAAAACCATTAGCAAATCAGAATTGTTGCTCAATCCCATTGTCGGGGTGGTTACAACTTAGTGTTTAGATCATCTTTGATGACAATTGACGCCGTCGATCTGTTTAATTGTGTTACTTTGGCTGGTTGGTGCTTCGGCCGCGGCCAAGAATTGGCGTGGATGCGCGGCCGCCCAAAGATTCTATCACCTTTCCGGACATTTCGATCCTCAGTTAAATTTGTTCTCCCAATTGTTGCTCGAATATACCTCATCTCCATTAACGTTTCCCCTTGTGGTGAGTCCTGTCCTGTGTCCTGTGTGTGTGTGGTCTTTTTGGCCTGCCATTACGAGAGTACCACAGGCACAAACCTCCCCATTGTCTTTGCTACCAAAGGCTTTGCCAACTTCGGTAGTAAGCTGTAACCAGAGATGATTCTCGTGCTTGACGCTCTTGTCTCGTGCCGTGCCGTGGTGCTCGAATGCCCTTGTATTGTACCGGAATGATGGTTCTAGCGAGCCGATGGTAACACAAGCCCACTGACTGGTGTCATACTGGGATTTGCATCTTGGCGTTTGCGAGTCGAGATCAGCGGCGGGGACGTTTCTCTTCTGGATGGCTCGGCTCGTACGAACGAAAACGAGGCGGTCCTGGCAAGTTGCGTGGCGCCATCATCCGTATTTGCCACAACGCTGGATGATGCTCCAATTTTGCTGGGGCGCGAGATGATTTGGACCAGAGGATTTCTCTGGGAATCGCTGGGCCTCGGCTGCGTGGAGAAATATCATCCGAAAATGGCCGGTCACCTATCATGTCATGTCCAAGGACGGGCGGGGCATCTCTCGTACGTATCGTTGATTGGGTTTGGACCGGGAAAAAGCAAAGCGGTGGACGCGAGCGTTTCGTGGTCCACCGATACAACCTCAATGGACAACCTATGGACGCGGTTTTTTTAATGGTTCTTTTTAATTTCCCTTTAGAAAAGCCAAGATTAGGACGGGCTGATTCGAGATACTTCCGGTGCGGGATCTCCTTTGTTGGGCAGGTTCAGCACCTTTCCCCCTCTACTATTGATTATTGATATCGAGAGGCGTACAGCGCTGGTGTTTCCTGAAGTATCCGTACGAGGGATTACAAAATATCCACGCCCATGCTCCCGTAGGAAGCGAACCACCTCCCATAGCTCGCCTCGAACAGTCCGGCGACCAGCCCTGCTGGAACAGTTTATTTTAGTTTTGGGAGGGTTTAACCGGAGACTGGAACACTCTCGCTGGCTTTTCTTGCCGCCATGCTCTGATTTGGTAACGCGAGTTTTTCTGTCCGCGAGTGGCAAGTTGCGTCGCGTCATGCTCGGCCGTCTACGGGTTCTCGAACCTGCAGATATGAGCTCCTACTAACGTCTCTCGTTGATATGAGATCACTTCTGTTGCTGTCGACTCTGGCGGTGCTGTTGCTCGACGTCGCCTTAAACTTTCCGCCTTTGTGCAACTTGACCCCGTCCATTTTTGCAGCGGAAGCCGAGGTCGATGTCTACGTGAAAATGGGTGTGCAAACCAAGCCAACTTGTTTGCACTGCGCGAGAACATGCACCAGGTATGGTAATAACCCCAAGTTGCTTACTCCCTCCGCCGAAAATACTTGTCGAAGAAATAGATAAAAATGAATGTATCTAGAATCAAAATACATCTAGATATATCCATTTCTCCGACAAGTATTTCTAGACGGAGGGAGTGCCATATATCGATCAAGTCAGATCGTTTATCCCTCCTCCCTGTCGGCTGGAACCCTAGCCGCCGCCCCATCTTTAAGCGCCGTCCTCCGGTGGCTCCCCTCCGCTGGCGTCCTCGGTCGTCGGTGGTGCGGGAGGTCGCCGGATCCACGCGCGTGGATCGATTTTATTTCCTTGTAGTCTAGGTTATTAGGTTGTTCATCGTCTTGGCTTCGGTGGCGACGATGACGGCGCTGAATAAAGTTATTTGTATTCTTCCCTGACGAAGCCATCGGTCTTATAGTTGGGAATGAATTTGGAAATCAGTCTGTTCAAGTAAGGATGACGTGGCGATGGCACCATCCTCATGGTGGACATGTGTCCTCGGGCTCCGTCATTGCGACGACGTTTGCTCCAGCGTCGGCGTGAACCTTGGGAGGTAGTCCAGGAGCGGATGCAGATTGTGGTCTACATCAACGACATCTGGAAGACGAAACGTGTGCTGGATTCGTGGCTCGTGGATGGCAGGTATGGTTTTCTCCTTCGGCGTCTTAGTCGTGGTGGGGTGCCAGATCTGGAGATCGATGGCGTGTCTGGGGTGTTGCCCCGGTCTGATTCGTTCAACGGCAATGGCTTCACTTTTGGTGAGCCACCTTACAGGTCCGCAAAGCTGTATATCAGCGATGGAGCTGCGTCGAGTTCAGGTGAGGAGGTGATCCGTCCTTCTTTTCTTCGGTGGCTACTGTATTGATGTTGGAGGCAGGTGACGGGCGTTGGTGTCAAGCTCAAAGATGTTCTACTATCTTTTCAATTTTGTCATGTCGGTCCTTACATGATTTATACTTTGTTTTTTTATTATGAATGAGAATCGTATTACCGTGAAAAAAACACGCATCACGTGAGCCACCGCCACACGTTGTACAGCTTGACAACTTGCGTGCTTTCCAAAAAAAAAAAGTAAAATCGAGAGAGGAAAAACGACAAGAACCTGCGTGCTTGCACTTTTACGATGAGGATGAGCACAAAACAGCTCGTTTTCTCACTCTGCGGGCGCCAAGTTGTGGCGTGCAGTGCAGGCGGTGTTGGCTGTCGGCAAGGTTTTCTTCAAACAATTTTGCTTTGTGTCGGTGAAACAAAAATAAGCATGAGCAATCAAGGGATTCTTTGATTCGCAGGGTCTAAATCAGAAAACTGAAAACACATAAGTTATTGCGGAATTGATTGTTTGGCTCACTAGAACACGGAAAACATCTCTACTCCTAAGGGGCAGTTGATAATCTCACCTCACTCTCACCGACAATATATTACCCCACAAGCCTCTTACAGCCGGTTCATTTGACGCGTGCATTAACTCAATTAAATCGGGGTTTTCCAAAACAACATCATGCATTAACTCATTCAAATTAAATCTTAAAACCACCGTGTTACCGACCAGATAAACGATGGGCTGTGTGCCGATTTCACGCACAAGGAAATATCAGATGCACCGTTTCAGATTGAGCCCCTTAAGACGCCGGGACCGGACGACTTCCACACACATTTTTTTTCTAGAGGAACTGGGCTGTTATGAGAGAGCAGGTAATTGTTGGGGTCAAGGAATTTTTTTGTACTGGTATTATGCCTGAAGGGGTGAACAACACCTCAATTGTTCTTATCCCCAAGGTAGATAACCCCAGGCGGCTCACGGAGTTCCGGCCTATCAGTCTATGTAACGTCATTTACAAGGTAGTGGCAAAATGTTTGGTAAACCAGGTACACCCTATTCTGGATGATATCATCTCGCCCGAGCAGAGTGCCTTTGTTCCGAGACGGATGATTAGTGATAATGCACTACTTGCCCTTGAGTGCACTCACTACATTCAGCAGGAAAAGAACCCAGACAAAAGTTTTCGTGCTTATAAATTGGACTTTTCTAAAGCTTATGACAGGGTTGATTGGATCTTCTTGGAGTGAATGATGCAAAAGATGGGTTTTGCTCGCCGTTGAATGAACTGAATTATGACATGCGTCACCTCGGTGAGATATACCGTTAAATTTAATGGTACCCTCTTGGAATCATTTGCACCGTCGCAAGGGCTTCAGTAAGGTGATCCTCTCTCCCCATTTTTGCTCCTCTTTGTGGCTCACGGTCTCTCGGCTTTGTTGAAGGATGGTGAGCAGTGAAGGAAATATGCCCTAGAGGCAATAATAAAGTTATTATTTATTTCCTCATATCATGATAAAAGTTTATTATTCATGCTAGAATTGTATTAACCGGAAATATGATACATGTGTGAATACATAGACAAACATATAATCACTAGTATGCCTCTACTTGACTAGCTCATTAATCAAAGATGGTTATGTTTCCTAACCATAGACATGTGTTGCCATTTGATTAATGGGATCACATCATTAGGAGAATGATGTGATTGACATGACCCATTCCGTTAGCCTAGCACTTGATCGTTTAGTATGTTGCTATTGCTTTCTTCATGACTTATACAAAGTTCCTGCAACTATGAGATTGTGCAACTCACGTTTACCGGAAGAACACCTTGTGTGCTACCAAGCGTCACAACGTAACTGGGTGATTATAAAGGTGCTCTACAGGTGTTTTCGAAGGTACATGTTGGGTTGGCATAATTCGAGATTAGGTTTTGTCACTCCGATTGTCGGAGAGGTATCTCTGGGCCCTCTCGGTAATACTCATCACCTAAGCCTTGCAAGCATTGTAACTAATGAGTTAGTTATAAGATGATGTGTTACAGAACGAGTAAAGAGACTTGCCGGTAACGAGATTGAACTAGGTATTGGATACCGACGATCAAATCTCGGGCAAGTAACATACCGATGACAAAGGGAACAACGTATGTTGTTATGCGGTTTGACCGATAAAGATCTTCGTAGAATATGTAGGAACCAATATGAGCATCCAGGTTCCGCTATTGGTTATTGACCGAGAATAGTTCTAGGTCATGTCTACATAGTTCTCGAACCCGTAGGGTCCGCACGCTTAACGTTACGATGACAATTTTATTATGAGTTTATAAGTTTTGATGTACCGAAGTTTGTTCGGAGTCCTGGGTATGATCACGGACATGACGAGGAGTCTCGAAATGGTCGAGACATAAAGATTGATATATTGGACGACTATATTCGGACACCGGAAGTGTTCCGGGTGATTTCGGAGAAAACCGGAGTGCCGGAGGGTTACCGGAACCCCTCCCGGAGAGTTGATGGGCCACATGG